CGAAATAATTCAGCGTCAAAAACAAAGCTGTTCAGACTCTACTGGTTTTGAATCAAATTTTGGGAGCATTTTTTTAAAGAGCTCATTACATCAAGTTCCCTGCTGTGATTCAGAATAGTTGAAATTGATCGGGATTCGCACTTATTCAAAATAATTCACGCACTTGTAATAGTTCAGGTAAAAAATTACTGCGTTAACATTTTGGTTTAAAGAAAACAATCTTGCGAATGTTCGACTCTTTAACCTAAACAGTATATAGGTATGATCAACCACCCCCTTAATTTCTGCCTCGTTTTTTCCCTGTTTAATTTATCATTTTAATTTTTAAACATGAATCGATGTACTCACATTGTATTCCGGCAATCACTCAAACTAATTCAGGATGAAGAGTTATGGAGAAGTTGGTCACAGAAGAACGTTTATGAGGAAATCCGGACAACTCAAACATGCCTGTCTTATTCTGTGTTATCATTTATGTGGATACTCAGTACCCTTTGAACTTTGTTGTTAAACTGTATCATTTCGCTAGAGTTCACAGTGCGCCATTCCGGTTTGATCATCAAACATTCAATCACTGCAGGATGAACGTGTCACTGAATAAAGAGGGCGCAAACACAAACGGACCGGATCCTGATGATGCACACAGTTTTATTCAAGTTCAAATTGCTTTATCTAGTTGGATTCATTTGTAGCAATCATGTACAGCGTTGATGTCTGTGCACATTATTCGTCCCTTCTGTTCCCTGTCAAGGGCGGATCCAGAACACAATTTTTTGGGGGTAGCCCCCCCCCCCAAAAAAAAAAATTGGTCCCCGGAAAGTGGGTCCAAAAAATTACGGCGTGGGGTTCAGGGCCCGCTTAATCATGGGCCCCGAATTTTTTTTGTAATTCTAAATGCTCTGTGGCGATCTGAGGAATTTTCTGACCACTTTAACCATTTTTTGTTTCGAAAAGATGGTAGTGTACCCAGTGCCTGCCTTTATTGCGACGTCACTTAAAAACAAAAAAAAATTGGCGGGGCGGGGGGGGGGGGGGGCATGGTCCCCCCCCCCCCCGGATCCGCCTTGTCCGCTGTTCGTCTTAAAATATGAAGCACAAGCTCTGTTTGCATGCAGGGTTCCACTCAGCATGCCACTTAGATTCAGTTGAATATTTTCTTGTAATGGCGATAGTAGTATTTGCTGAATACTTTGAAAGTGTTTGGTCATTTGGTACACAGATAATCATGAAAACAATTATGGGACATTATTCGGTTAACAAACAAATGGGGGATGATGCTAGTAGTCCAACCGGTGCGCTGATTTCCAATCCGGAACATAATTATTTGTGTAACGACCGTACCTTGACTGCGGTGTCCACCTGATTTCCGCCACTACTTCCTTGGTATGAGATTGATTGTCCTTGATAATGCCGAAAATGTATGTTCATTGTGATGCCTACAATTTCAAATGCAAGCAATTTAAACAAAAAAACATAGGATTATTTGCTTTTGAATCTTATAAAAACTTAAGAAGGTCGCAACTAACCTGTTGAAGTTTCAGCTCAGTGGATACTATCATTAAGAAAAAGCAGAGAAAATGTATGCACTATTTTGTTGGATCTCGTATCTTGATTCCGTGCTTTATAACACCTTAACTATTTTTTTTTAATTTTAAAAACACCTGCAAAGTTTTCAACCGACATATCAGGCGAAATACTTTCACCGGGTATTTGATACCAGTCTTATCTTCACTCTCAGCATTGCAAGGTTTCTGCCATTAAATGTACTTTTCCGGGCAATTGCAAATGATCCTACGTGTCCTTAAATTCTTTTTGCATACAGATTTCTCTCAGAAAATCTGGGCATTTGTTTTGGTAGTTATTACGTTTGATTTGAAAATATTAAATCCTACAAAGAAGACTTGAATATTGTTGCTCGTGCGTGGGTCTGTTCGGGACTGTTGCATGCAGGACGCATTCCGCTTAAAAATATATTATCAATCCAGATCACATTTCGCCCGACAGAGATTTTGATCTGGGGGTGTTTTACTTGTGAAATTCAGCTATGCCTCCCCCAACAGCCCCCAAGATATCTCCCAGCGGATTTTCAATGACTCATTTTCGTTGGTATTATTTCCAGCTCGCAATCTGCTGAGTGTTGAGGATTCCCTTCGTGATAGAATTCAAGAACGTTACATCGAGGTGAGTGTCTGTTATTTGACATTTTCCTCACTCAATCATCAGAACAGAGCAGTGATTCGGTGGGAGACTGTATTTTTTCTACATATTTTATACACCTTTTGGTCAAAATTTATAGCAGAAAACATTGCTCGAGTGATAGGGCCTATACAGGGTGAGTCAAAAAAGCGAACCCTAATGTCGGGACCATAATAGTGAAGTTCTGCATGTAGCCCTTTCAAAATCTAGGATATGAAAAACCAATTCATAGGCTTTTGTTTGGTACAATAATCATTCAAATCACTCATGTACGTTTAGTACATGAGGTTAAGGAATTTTAAACACAACCACCGTTTTAAAGTTCTGTCAACGGATCACGAGAAAGTAAGTGTTCTTTCAGCAAAACGAAAACAAATCACATATGCGTGAATTGTTTTCGTTTTGCTGAAAGAACGCACACCTTTTTGTGATCCGGTTGTGTTTAAAATTGCGTAACTTGAAAAGTACATGAGTGAGTTGAATGATTCTTGTGCTAAAAAGAAAGCTTATAAATTGGGCTTTTATATCCTTGATTTTCAAAGTACTACATGCAGAACTTCAATAAAACAATAGTCCCGACATTTGGGTTTCGATTTTATTTTTACTCACCCTGTAGTAGTGAGGAATTCCCTCCCCTAACATGCACCGTAGAACTGTGCCTAACATTTTGGCCTGCAGTCTTTGCAAATTCCTCGTCAAATTCACCAGGGTGCCCCAAACTAATGGCAGACACACGCTCGAATTTCCTTTCACATTTTTATGGAAATATTACTTTGTCAAAAAAAGGAACTAAGATGGAAACAAATGTTTAGTTATTGTGTAATCAGATTCTTTGGCATTTATCTTCTTTTTGTATCCTTGTTCATCGTGTTCGCATTTTTTTAAATCAAAATTGTGTTCGCAACCATCGTCTTCATTCTTTCGTGATCGTTGATCACATTGTAATTCGTTTGTTTGTGATTGTTTATCACGTTAGGGAATCATCATAGCATAGGTTTTCCCGTCCAATTTTGCAAGTTGTTTTTGCAATCAGACAGACTGTTCATTACATTTCAAAAAGTGGCAGTTAACGCATTCGATTTTATTTGAATATTTACACCCAGCAAAGAGTGTAGGCAACTTTTTCGTGCAAAGAAAATCCATTTCTTTTGTTGGTTTTCGATTTTGCACTGAGAACAGGCGAATCTGTAAGAGGAAGTTTTCATTTTCAACGAATGTGCAATGGAATAAATCGCCAATGGCCCCCCCCCAAAAATATGATTTTTAATTTTTGCAACAATAAACAAACTGGTCACTTAATTGTCCTTACATAAAAACCTGTATTTTGACATAGTATTTTATCGGCGAGTGTTCTAAATGTATTTCCTTCTATCACTTTGACACTTTACATTGATACAGTTCTGTTCTGCTTTTTTCATATTCCCTTCCCAGGCATTCCAATCTTTGAAATAGCTGTACATTCCTTAATCCAAACTTGTCAAAAGCCATGTCATTTTATACTCTGTTGTATCACTATAATACAATACCTTGCTCATGCAACTTCCAAATATCATTGAACTGTCTTACTTTTGAATGCAAATGTTTTATTATTAAATTATAGTAAAGTGTGAAATTGGGCGGGAAACCCTATAATATTTCATATTGAATGAAAGATTTCATTGCTGCTTTAAACTACAAAGAGAACTGGAGTTAAAAGTAATTTTGCCTGGCCAAATGCAACAAAAGCTTAGAATGCCAACAAACTTTTGACCGAGTTCCTATATTGTCTCAAAAGTAGATACATGCCTTTAAAATGATTGGAAACGTTTCAATAATAACGTTTAAACAAATTGAACGCTAATTTCAAGAATCAGTCAATTCGAGAGAAGTTGAACAATGCGACATTAAAACAGGTTAGTTTTTCTTGACGAATTCGGCCAGGAAAACCTATTATTTTAATTACTTGACCGTAATAACTTGGTGAGAAATTTTTCCTGTTTTGGGGTGGCAATGTATCCAAATGAGAAAAAAAATCTCACTCATTTATCTTAATTGATAATAAAATAGTATTCCTGACTAAAGTGTAAACTTAACCAGTCTTCGTTTGTATGTTTTTTTCAGCCTACACTGAATTCCTTGTGATCTCTTCTTGGACCTGATCTTCAAGAACGAACCATCGAGGTGGGTGTGGTGAGGTTTAATTAATGATTCTATCAGGACCTGGGAAGGGGCAAGATGTGCTCCGCCTCCCCCCCCCCCCCTCAAAAAAAAAATACTACAGCTCCGGAACGCTTCGCCCTATCGGAATGCATTTTGGTAACCTTTCTTAAAATTTATTGGCAGGCGAAATAAAAACAAAATCGAATCGATGGGTTGCCATGACAACCGGTTTTATAAACTAGGCTTCTCATAAATGTTAGCCCCTTGACCCCTCATACGCCACTGTTATATAACAAAGAAAACATTCTTCGAACAATGATTCCTCCAATCTCATGTTTTTGGGGTTTCTTCCCTTCAAATCTGACGGCGGATTGTCATGAATTTTAGACTAGTTCTCCTGTTTATCAAACCTCAATATTTTTCACTACTCTTCCCGTTTTTAAAAACTATTTTATTGAAAAAAAAATCTCACCTGATTTGGTTTAGTTTCATGCTTTGTTTACGTACAGAATGAATATCTGCGTGGCAACCGTTCTTTCAATCGCCCTCCTTCTGGGTAACTCCGTCAACCTCCGAGCTTCCGTTACTGGGCCGGTTGCCTCGGACGGTGATGGTGCGTCTCAGGCGGGCCAAACGTGCTGCCAGGAAACAGCTGCAATTGTCGGAATTTTACAAGGGTCAAAGGGTGATGCAGGTCAAAAAGGAGAGCCGGGTAACGACGGCAGAGGCCTGCCGGGCAAGATGGGACCAAGAGGTTTAGTTGGGCCAACAGGGGAAACTGGTGTCAAAGGTCAAAAGGGCGATATCGGTCTCCGGGGTCAGCGGGGAGCACGTGGTGTCAAAGGTCAGTTGGGGCTCCAAGGCCGTACTGGTTTTGCAGGCGAGCCAGGGCTAATCGGGCCGATTGGCCCTCAAGGTGACACTGGGCCTAAAGGTTCAGTCGGGCAAACCGGTCAGACTGGTGTCAAAGGTCAAAAGGGTGAGCCAGGGGAGGCACCAGACGACTCCAACCAGCGGGTAGCATTCACCGTGGTGAGGACGAGCAGCTCGGATGCCTCTACGAGTTTCGACACCCGTTTGCCCTTCCAGGCGACCGAGACGCTTCTGCCGGGTACCAGCTTCGATCTCGAGACCGGCACGTTCACGTGTGGTGTGCCGGGCACCTACGTGTTCATGTTTTCTGTGTGCAAATCTCCTTCCAGCAGCTACCTGAACGTTCAGCTCCGGAAGAACGGCGTCGTGGTTGTCTCTGGCTATAGCAGTGATTCAGGTCGCTATGAGCAGGTGTCTGGGAGCGCGGTGGTGGTTCTGCAGCGTGGAGATACGATGTATCTCACAATGTACGGTAGGGCGTATAGTGATTCCAATCACCTCACCTCATTCAGTGGCTTCCTCCTTTACCCCGAATAAACGCAATCCAACACATAAAGATACCCGAGCATCGTGTTGCTGATTTTTTTAATCGCTTTCCATTTTGCCGAAACAATAACCAATGAATTAAAAGAAATAATGTTCAATGACAATGTCACAAAAAACATATTATTATTAATGTTTTTGCATTGCGCATGCGCCGATCTGTATACAACAATGGATTTGCCATTTTTTTGACTTTCTGCAAAACAAAATATTTAGCTTTATGCATAAGTATTGGGATATAGTGAAAAGTATGCGTTAAGTTTTTTGACAACAATTTTTTTGTACCCATTGTAGGCCTATCGAGAAGTATTTTGATGGAATATTTTTTCAAAGCAAGCTGGGTCATTAATTTTTTTTGGAAACAAAAGGTTTGCAATAAAGCGGTGCCACCATGTATCCAGAAATGTTAACAGCTATAAAAAAATTGTGTTTATGGTGTTATCTCGACCAACTTAGGCCATGTTTCTGACCGCCATTTTTTTTTATTGCCACATTTGGTCAACATATAAAATAACGTGTTTTTTTCTGAAAATAAATGCAACTTGTTTGTAGTATTGGGTATTTAAAACAGATTAATTAAACACAATAACTGTATCGTGTATCCTAATTAAAGCAAACAAAGTATAAAAGACATACAGACAAACAAACAAAATATTTTGCTACCTACCTGGATAATTTTAGAGCGTTTACTGTAACATGTTATTTTCTTCGCCTTATGTTCCCTGTATGCCCAGCACAGATGATGTCAATTAAATAAATCCCATGGTATGTGTAAATTTTTATTTCATATCACGAAAAAAGTCTCGAGTGATTGAATCTGATTTTCTTATAGACTTTAAGCTTGGCATTTGGATTAACAATTGTTTGAAATATTCTAATGCTATTCACAGCAATTAGAACACACTGGTTTTTATTAAATGATTGCATTATTTTAAACGTTATAATATGTGAGAATTACGTAGAAGTAACAATTGACTTGCTATGAAAACAGTGTGCATAAAACCTCATTCTGAGGATTACCAAAAGCACCACCATAATGTTGATAAATACTCTCTTTTTTTTCGCTTGGCTTCGTTATGAAAAAAACCCATGATTTTAATTACTTTCAGTTGAAACAGAAACGTGCCCATAGTAATGAAAAAAGTGGAGTTGGCTGTTGTTTTTAAAGCCCGTAAAAGTACGACAAGTGTTTCTTGATTAAAAGACTCCAAATTATTTGAAGACTTTTATTGTTCTTAATCAGTATTACTTGATTGCATTAAAAAAACTCACTTTGAAAACATCAGTGAAAGTGTGAGCCCGTTGGATGGTAAAGAAACAATCTCAACGAAATCAATCAAAACTAAGCACAAATTCCATTCAAGTGAGGAGGGTCTTTCAACTGGTTGGAATTGTCCTTTGTCACTTTATCATTTCATGTGAATTTCTTTGTATTGACTTTTATTTGGATGCCATATTTGGCATCCCTGCTGACAGCATATCCTTGGATAATGTCTCCAGCCAGCACATGTACATGTAAGCTGAACAAGTACGCTTCCTGGAAATAGGTAGACTCCTGCAAGAAATCAAAGAAAAGGTTATAATGGACCCTTCCTGCATGTCAATCAACAGTGCACATTGGCCAATCAGATCACCACTTTTTACACGAGTAACTTTTTAGTTTTTACACAAGTGTCCTTAGTTTTCTTTAAAAAGTTTCTTGTTTCGCCAGCTGCTTTTCAAGAATTTTTGGTATTTTGTGTAAACATCAGCAATTGTGCCGCCATGAAAAGCGCCACCCATTGACCTACCGCCGTTTGCGAGTTAGCCCCTTAGACAACTCTATCAGCCTTTTCGCTGCATGATACCGCCATCTTTGAATTATTAATTTTTTGGGGGGGGGGGGGCATTACAATGAAAATACGTCTCGTCATGCAACTGTAGCTGAGAATGATGGCATGACTTTTCAATGTAATGCCCCCCCCCCCATTTCAAAGATGGCGGTATCCGCGAAACGGCTCATGGAATTTTGTACGTTAACTTTTGTTTGTCTCAGATTTTGGCGTTCTGCGTCCATTTGTATATCATGTTTAGACAATATTTTACAAGCTGCGTTGACGCAATTCCACCGTGATAGGTTAATTGTCCGATAGTGGCCATTATCGCCGGTTTGAAAAGCACCCCATAGGAAGATGGTACCCAGCCCCGTCCCCCTACGCCCCGCTTTTGGATTTTACGGAGGCCGGGGGACTAGTGAAAAAAAAACATCTACATGTACCTTCAACACAAATTGGCGACCCCCCCCCCCCCCCAATAAAAATGACCTGGCTTAAAATCGTGCAATCTCTATAGACGTTAAAAGTAATTTTCACAGCTCTCAAATAGCGAGCGTGTGGTTTTACAGTGGTGGATCTATAGGCGGTACCCCCCCCCCCCCCCCCACCCGGCGCAAATAATCACAACATTTTCCAGATCCCCCCAACTTGACATCGCACCCCCCAGCCAAAGCTAGATCCACCCCTGTTTAGGATTTCACGCTAGTTTCTGCTATAGTGAGTAGGTTTGCGTAATTGTGAAGTAAGTGCCCTTAGATTAGCCACTCATTATTTTCATGGGAATTGCCAACACTACAACAGACATTTTTGCATGACACTTAGAAATTACGGTTTTTGCAAAAAGTGTAAACAATCAGTTACAGAGGATTACTTCTGTGCTTACAGGAATAGCACAGGATTTCTGTGCTAGTGTGCTAGATCATCAGCACAGAATTGTGTGCTTAAACCATGAAATTGAGTCTATTGAGTTAGTAGTGGCTTTGTGTACTTACATGACAATGAGCTGAGCCTCCTGGGAATGTTGGAGAAGCAATTCACGGATCCGCATCTGTCTGTTGGTCTGAAAGAAAAAGAAAGATTTCAGGCGAAAAAATGGAGTGATTTATTGATGTTTAATAAAGTCGAGTTCCATGCACTTCGCAAATCAAATGAACTGAGAGTTGTACGGAAAAATGGATTGAAAGTGATCAATCTCATTATTGAAAATCACCCACCAGAATGTCAAAGGTTGGACACAATTAACAAATGTTGCAAGACTGGACTTAAAATCACACAAACCAGGGACTAAGCGTAAAGTGGATACTGGGAAAGCTTTAAGTGTATTGCCTCCATGCATGGACAAAAGAGGGCGCTTTATAGTCAAACTAGCAGAAGCCGGAATGAGGGACACTTCACTGGTTCACTCATGCTGGTTATCGTGTATTTGGTACCAGCATTTATAAGCCACGATGGCGCCCAAATGGCCCTCGTTTATAGTTTTCTCCGTGGAGGGGGGGGGGGGGGTGCTTGCGCGCAAGGAGGAGATTCTACCTTCTCGTTGCGCGTAGTGACTTCTTCCTTGCTGATCTTCCAAGGAAACTTCTCCATGGTCTCCAGGCTGCTTCCTCATCCAGCATCCAGGGTTTGGAGAGCTCCTTGATGATTGTGTTGGTCTTGATCTTACCCAACCCACTAATCTAGACGGAAACCAATCAGGAAGGAAAATTTGAATGCATCTGCTCTAACTAAATTGTGTCCAGGTCTTGGAAAAGACCAACGTTAGTGCTGAAAAAAAGCGACAAACCTCGACAAATCTGGTTTAATGATCTTGTTATACATTTTGCAACTTTTACTCAATTCTTTAAAGACCTGCTTGCATTTTACTCAAACTGTTCATCAAAATTCATTCCGCAAAGTCTGTGAGTACACATTTCGGTACTCAAAATACTCATCGAAATATTCTGCTCACTCTGTATGTTGAAATCACAAAAACTAGGTACTCGAGTTAAGTTACGGAAGACAGATAGTGCCACTCAATGAGTGTGAATATATTTTTTGGGTGCGTGTGGGAATATTTTTTTTGTACAGCGGCCGCCACTTATTATGTGGCGGCAGCTACATAAGTCGTCATAATAAGTGGCAGCCGCTGTGCAAAAAAAATATTTACACACGTACAAATAAAATATATTCACACTTTTTTATGTGGCGTCCGCCAGATAATAAGTGGCAGCCGCCACATAAAAAGTGTGAATATATATTTTTTTGTACAGCGGCCGCCACTTATTATCTGGCGGCCGTCAGATAATATGTGGCGGCCGCTGTACAAAAAAAAATATTTTCACACGCACCCAAAAAAATATATTCACACTCATTGAGTGGCACTATCTATCTTCCGTGTAAGGTGGGTACTGGGAAGAGCTCTAAGTGTATTGTCTCCATGCATGGACAAAAGAGGGCGCTTTATAGTCAAACAAGCAGAAGCCGGAATGAGGGACACTTCACTGGTTCACTCATGCTGGTTATCGTTCATTTGGTACCAGCATTTATAAGCCACGATTGCGCCAAAAAGGCCCTCGTTTATAGTTTTCTCTGTGGAGGGGGGGGGGGGGGGGGTGCTTGAGCGCAAGAAGGAGATTCTACCTTCTCGTTGAGCGTAGTGACTTCTTCCTTGCTGATCTTCCAAGGAAATTTCTCCGTGGTCTCCCCTGCTTCTTCATCCAGCATCCAGGGTTTGGACAGCTCCTTGAACTGTCTCAGGCTCTACTCCTTGGGCTTCTTGTTCAGGTCCGGGATGACCTCCATGTCCGAGCAGTTGATGCGGAACTTGCTGAGCATGTTGGCCATGTTCATCTTCTCCCTGTCCATTTGCTCCTTCTTGCTCGTGGTGGCAAAGATGCGCAGCTTGCATTTCTCCCAGTTGGATTTCATGGAGATGAGGTGAGGGATGAGTAGGGTCAAGCCTGGGGGTGGTGGGGGGGGGGGGGGGCGGGGGGGGGGGGGGGGGGGGGGTTCACAAACAAAAATTATACAGAGCATTATATAAAGCATGTGTTTCCTTAGACATGCAGCCATCCAGAATAACCTGAGAGATCTCTGAAAGGCTCCATGAAATTAATTGGACACTGAAACATATAATAAAATAATCAGGCCAACCAAGAACAAAAAGTGTGGTGTTTTCTTCTACATACAAAAAACAACTGT